GGGACTTTCAAGAGACGTACCTAAGGGGGCTGAAATCGGGGTTCCAAATCCGGCGGGATTCAGTAAACTAACCAATGGGCCGGCATGTCTTCTACGTCTCAAGGTTCTGAGACCACATAGCTGGAGGATTTTTTTTTTCAGTGTTAAAAATTTTGGTATGCTCCAAACGTTCTCTCAAGTTATTGCCATTCCGACGAAAACAAATCACTAAAATTCATGAACACGTGTTGTGGTCATTAAAAAAAAGTATGTTTTTAAACTTAAGAATTACAGCCGCGAGGTAAAAAAGAAGGTAGCTGTGTTAATTCTATTGCATTGTAAATCACAGGATTCGCATGGCTAGACTGGACTGCCATCAAATGTGTGTAAACGGCAAAACAAATCCGGAAAATGATACCAGACCTGTCGCTGTGTATGGTATTTGGATCCGTAGAAGTTTCCACTACGAGGCATTCCGATTCTCAACTGCTTTTACACATTGGTGAATGCGGTGAAATTACTCGCCGAAACTGTCCTTACTCGGTTCTTCTTTAGCTCGATTGGCGTCCTATAACGTAGAGTTTAAAACTGATTCAACTATCGCAACAATTGTTTTGGTTCAACATGTGACGAAATAACTTGAAATTTTTCCAAGGCCCTAAGGCTGTTCCCATTCTTCGTAAAAGACGCTTAAAGTAATATTGAGGGGTTTCCAAGCAACCAGAAAAATGGGAAAGGTTTTGTAAGATGATTTCTGTAACTAGAAGTAGATCATCTTATGAAGTAAAGAAAAAAAACAAGAAGTCTAGGTAACATTCGAATTCATAAAAAAAATTATTTACACCACAATGTTTTGGATTGTAAGTTCGGTTACAAAGTTCTCACTTCAAGTTAAACTCCAGATTCAAAATCTCCAGAGTCGTAGCCAATTTTTTTACTGGTATCTTAACAGTAAAACGGACGCGGTACCTAAACGTTCCGGATTGAACACGACACCGGAATAACCTTCTTCAGTGTAAATCTATTCTGTACTTAATTATTCTTTCAGAAACGTCAAAAGGGTAAATATGTCTCCATGATGTGCACGTTGAACAGATTTGAAAATACTCCAATGGTGTAATTCATAACTAAATCGAATAAAAAATAACAAGAATTGTGTACATGTTATGTAGTTATGTTAAATACCCTAATCCCACGAGTGCATTTGGTAGCTTTCGGATTAAAGTTATTTTAGCCGATAGACACAAATTGGGAGGCCCGCTCAACTTTAACTGAGTCATTAAAAGGTTGACGGTGAACAGACAGAACTTCAGCCAAACAATTTCATTAGAAAGTATGTGATCAAGCTCCCCAGTACTTAAGACAGCCGGTGTAGATCAGTTAGATAGTT